TCCTAACACGTCATATACGAATATTCCAAAACTGCAATGAAGTTTAGCTTCAAGTGCTGAACCAGGAAAGTCCAACATAAGATTTGTAAATATTTTATTAACTATGATGATTCCTTGAAGTTTAACAGGAAGTGGCATGTTCCTGTCAATATACTTACTCTGCTGTACAAATGGAGCTTTGAATTTTATATTGCAACAGTCGATAGCATCAATTACACCCGGAAATCCAGCTCTGTCTCTTAAATTTGCTTCTATTGCAAGTAGTTCTTCAGTACAAGGCCACACTACATAGCGATGTAAAAGTCACCTACTGTTAGAACCTTTCCTTTTCCAATTCACCAGAGGGTTATGACCAGTTATTTTTCAGAAGAAATAGGGTGATTTTCTCCTATTGAATCCTTATGTAATTGTTCAGGACCTATATCCTTCAGTAATATTTTGCAAGAGTCTCAAGTCATTCAGAACATGGAAAAATTGTCTTCAGTTATGTATCTAACTGAACATTCTTCAGCTTCTTAAATAAAAGTTTATGTTGAACAAGTATACATTGATACGTTATCATATATTTTGGCTAATTCTATCACATACAATTACTAATTTTTTTTGTGTTTTTACAACTGCTTTATTATTCTCTTAAAGTACAATTCAATGCAACTGAAATGTATCATTGGCAACAAAATGAACTCACCAGCTTCATGAGAGGTAGACAAATTTTCCAATGCTTATGAAGGTTTGACAATATATGGAAGAAAAAAAATTATATATATGAAAATCATATACGATTTCAAATTACTCTCATCAGTTACCTGATATAATAATGTAAACACAAGATCTATCAACTGAAACCACTACTGTGCGGTTGGCTCCTGCTGGTGGCTCCGTGCATTTGTATTTCTATCTTTTGGTAACCAATTGTTACCTTACACTTGGCTGCACCATACTGATGATGGAACAAAAGCCCGAAACACGTGTCTATGGTTTGCCACTTTCTTGAGTGCTATGTCCGATTATTAACTTCTGTTTCTATATCAAGACACTCAATAAATAACTTTCATATTTGTATAATTTCCTTTTTACAGATAGCTACAGCACATACACGTCCAGGCATGGTCTAAAAGACAAATGAATAGTTAGAATCCAAATGGCTTTTGAAACAGATCAAGACTTAAAGTCTCTTCCAAAATGTATCTTGAATATTATGGTCAATGACTATAAATATGGGGACACCACAAATTATTCAATCAATGGGGTTTAAAATATATTCCCTTTAATACATCATTTCCCAACTAATACTGAAGATGTGACATCACAACGAAACAACAATTATCACAATATGATATATTAAACTAAAAAGCTGACAAATATTCAGCAATATCCAACAACTATGAAAACATTACCACCGCATAGGTGACAATCAGCATGGACACTTAGCCTTTGATGTGGAAACGTACCTTGACGCCATTTTGGGAAGTGACGATAAGAGGGCAGGACTCGCGAAATGGTTTTGGACAGGTTCGCACTCAAACTTTTTTATATCCAAAATGCTCATTTTATTATTACTTCATGCATCGACTCCAAATGCATATTTGTGTTAATGCTAGCTTCTTTTATGAAACAGTAAGCCCATTTTTTTAAATTATGACTGTATGTATTAGAAAAATACTCTCCAAAATGTCTTGTGACTTCATTGTTGTACATACAACTCAAAGCATTATCCAAAGCTGAAACAAAGTTTGATTCAATAGTTTTTTGTTGCAATATTTTCAGTATTTTGTAAATTTCTGAACGCTTGTCCTTAGTGGAAATTTTATTCAAAGTGCTCTTCCAAGCTCTGTCAACATGCCAGGAGCAAAATAAGTGTTGTGGATAAGGCGGTCCCATCACCCCATACCATGCATTGAAAAAACCGCAGCCATATCTGACATGAAAAATTTACAATGAATTAATGTAAGATTGTACATACCTATGGTGTCCTTGATTGCTGAAAAAAATACACTCTGCACTATGGTATCTTTTCTATTTGTGAACATTTCAGCTACTGGAAAACCATGACAACCATAATAGTTGTAATTTCAAAATGATAGTCATTTAGGTCATGGGTACTATCAATGGTAATTGTAGATGGAAACTGTTTCATCATTTGTCTTTGAAATGTGTTCATTATTGTCAAGCAAAAGTCCACTTTTCTTAAAATACTATGGTCCTTTCCTTGCTCTTTATACAACAAAATAGGATTTTCTTTGAGATTTTCACATTCCTTCACCCAAAGAGCCACAGAATAGGCATCATTTGAATCTCGCTTTCCATCTTGCAATCCAAGACCATAGCTTATTTTTATATTTCTCAGATCCTTAGTAGTTAACAAATCTACTCTTTTCAAATATTCACCAAAATTATAACGAGTAGATTTCAAGATTCTGTGAAAAAATTAGTTAGGTTAATGCCCTGGTAGAAATTGAATAACTCAAAATTGATAAGTGAATATTTAGATGATATTTTACATCTGAATCATAAGATTCTGCAGAAATTGAGATAAGAATTGTTCATTAATAAGTCTCTGATGATAACATAAGTATAAAATATGATTACCTTTGGGGTGCAACACCATTTGTTATCTTTGTGGTAATATTTTGTTTTTCAGTTTTTGGCAATCTAATATGTTGTATATCAAGCTTATGACCATAATGTACTTTTTGCCACTCTACCAGAATTTTGTTGTTTTCTTTAACAACTTTGATTTCGCTTGTGCAAGAACTATTTATTTTACAAGATCCCTAGCTCTTCAACAATCTACGTCATCGATCACTGTTGTCACTGAGGATATAACCTAGGACAGAGAGAATTTTTTATTCTATCTCACCCTTTATCAAATTGCACTTATATAGGGTTATTATTTATTTTGTTTTTTGAAATATAGGTACCCTCACTCAGCAGTACCATATCTATGTAGCATCTTTGTACCCAATCTCTATACCTTTACACTCAATAATTAGTACTCACTTGTACTCCTGTTGCACTTGTAATACACTATTTCACCAATAGTACTAGCATTCCTACTTTTCAAAACATAAGAACAATTGTTAATTGTTTCAGTATTTGATTTCCAAATTTTAAAATCTGAAATAAATAAAAATAAATATCAAATTAGTGTTATTCTGATTTCAGAATTAACAAACCATTTATATTTTTCATAACATGACACTCTGTTTCAAACTTCAGCTGATGAATACTCTGCAAATGGTCCACTAAATTCTTATGGGTTTTGAATGCAGCATCACAATCTGCTTCAAGGCAACAGCTACTAAAAGTTGCACCGCATCCATTCGGTTCCTGAAACAGAAGGTATCGATGTTGTAACCAAAATCAGAAAAGATGAGTGTTGAAGAGAATAGCACTAGTAAGAAAAATAAGAAGTACAAACAGAAGTTCAGATTCGATTGAAAATCCAAATTCAAGTGGCCCGAACCATTTGATAATGGTACAAGTACAAAGGGCATTGTGTGTAATATAAGAATTATTGGAAGTATAACACATTTGAAATTGCATGAAAAGTCAGTTTCTTACAGAATAAAGGAGAAAGCTGCAAAGTGCACTCCTTCCATGGTAGACATGTTCAAATCAGAAGAAGTAGGAATTGATCAAAGAATTATTGAGGCTGAATTAAAATGTACAATGTTCATAATTGAACATAATTTACCATTTATGATAATGGACCATTTACCAAAACTAATCTCATCTGTGTGTCCTGACTCCAAAATAGCTAGCAAACTATGCATTCATAGAAAAAAAAAGCTACCCAATTATCTGTTGAAATATTAGGGCCAGCTAATTTGAGAGATACTTCAAATGATCTGAAGCATAATCATTTTTCTCTAATTATAGATGAAACCACAGATATCAGTACTTCCAAGTCCTTGGCTTTAGTGGCTAGATATTATAAGAATAACCGAGTAGTTGATAGACCTCATAGAGGTTGATAAAGCTACTGCAGAATGTTTATTTGGTGCAATAAGGGATGTTATGTTGAAAAATAGCATACCATTTGAGAATATTATTGGCTTTGGAGCTGATAATTGCTCTGTTATGATGGGACATTTAACTGGGATGAAAGCTTCATTCAAGAGTGTGAACCCAAATATAGTCATTATTGGCTGTACTTGCCATTCATTCCATATTTGCTCTTCTGCTGCATGTGAAAAGTTACCTAAATATTTTGATCAATTCAGTCGTGATATATATAATTATTTCAGTAATAGTTCAAAATGCTGTTCTCAATTTAAAGACTGCCAAATTTTCCTAAGGAAAAAACAAATGTGATTTTAAGACCTAGTCAAACAAGGTGGTTGTCATATAAATTAGTAGTTAATCGAATTTTGGAACATTGGTCATCATTAGATTTATTTTCCACAGCGGCAACTCTAGAAGACAAGGTTCAATCATCTCATGCCATTTTGAATGCTTTGAAAAACCCTATATACAGTGTGACCCATTTTTAATGGAAACACCCCCCCCTAAAATTTGAAGTTGTAAANGGGGTAGTCCGTTCCTGACTTTGTAGCAAAACAACTGACTCCTGCATGAAAGCTCATCGAAGGAATTCATTTGTTTAGTCAATTACCAAAATTTGGATGATTTTGAATATTCACTTGAAAAGTTATCAAAGAAAAACATTTTTCATTTTGTAACTTCGAGGGCCCGTTACTTGGTAACGAAGGAATTTTTAGGAAAAAGTTATATGAAGTACTGGTGATATTTTGACCCCATCTATACATTCCCGAGAGGAAAAGAGGAAGTCCAGGGACACCCTGTATAGTGAGTTTTGCACTTGCATGCATCACATTTGATTTACTAGAAAATTACCTTGAGTAAATTGAAGAATGTGATTATTGATAATCAAATTTTCCAGAAGAAATAAATATCACAAGTAAGTAAAAGGCATTGTGAAAAGGATGTTGATCCCAGCACAATAGTGTGCTTATATTGTCTTATCATTAGTGCTTTCACCTTAATTGTAAGACAGAAGGTGTAGTTGTGATGAAGAAATTATCATTATTATATGGTTTCAATATTGAGAATAACTTACCAGGTGGTCCTCCTCCAGGTACCATTGGTTGATTAGTTATGGGTCCACCATACTGACCAGGACCATACGGTCCAGGACCTGGTGGATACTGAGTTGGAACAGGTTGATAACCCTGACCTGGCGCACCATAACCTGGAGCATTAGGAGTAACGTAGCCTGGTGCAGGGGCTGGAGGATAATTACCTATAAAACAAGAGCAGTAATGAAGGATCTGTTTACTACATGTGTCTTCTTTCACTGGGCAGGAACTAAATCTTTGACTAAAAATTGTTATAGAAGAAAATGACTACACGTAAGTAAAAGGTACAAGAGAACGAATACAATTTTCTTGATTCATAAAAGTGCACATTGAAGTTCTTTCCAACTTACTGTTATAAGGTGTCGGATACATTCCTCCCTGGGGGTGTGCCTGATGGTTTGGTGGTGGATAGGACATAGTTTTTGCACCAGAGAAAAATCAATAGTGGAACAAAATTCAGGAATCTTCCTTCTTGATGATTCACAGCAGATAACTGTCACTGAATATCCTGCCCTAATATCGGAATGAAATTCAATACGAATTGCAAACTTTAATCATAGCTATGAAACTAATTTAGATAATATCCTGTATCCTCATAGTTAATATTCCTTTTTCACTAGATGACAAATATCATGAACAGTTGAATCACAATTATAAAACCAGACACGCACCACCAACTATTTTTAGAATTTGGTATATGTGGGTAATCATAATCGAGGTAATAAATAGAATATGATTAAATTCCAGTCAGAAAATAAACATCACATTCTGACAGAAATGTTCTATGTTGTTAAGAAAGACTTGTCACGGTTGTCACAGAATAGAGAACAATTCAGTATTCTGTGGACTAGTGGCACACAGGGTTGGGATTTTTAGTCCAATCCTACTGAATTTAGTACTTTTCGACTTCATTCAGTAGCCTAGTATTCTAAAAGAAATTTAGTATTCTCAACAAATATGTCAATATGAGTCATTCTATCATCGTCATTCACTGTGATTTGAGTTATATACTTTTAGTAACTGGATTTTGTGCTCTGCGCTCAGCTCCTCAGCTTTGTGTTCTTATTTTTCTAGGTGCCTGTCAAAGTCAATGACAGGACTGACAGGTAACAAGAGTGGGCAGTGATCCAGTCCCGGTGACATAAACCTAAGATTCCTGGGTTTTAGACATTTTACATAAACCGCCCAGTGCGTACCAACGTTGCCAAGTGTACCCAGTTCGTATATTCAAAATGTAACTCGGGAACTACGCTAATAAAAACGACTTTGTAAAAATAAGAGTTTACCTCCAAACAAAAAACATACATATCGAAATGGTAATAATAATATAATAATATTGGTGGTCACTTATAGGTTAAACTGATTTGTAAAAAATAGATCTTCAGGGGCGTCTAATAGGTTTTATTGA